CCCCCTCGCTGCTTTTTCATTTTCTCTTAATTTCTTGGGGCTTTTCTTTCGTTGCTTTTTTTTTTTTTTTTTTTCCTTTTTTCCTAATTCCCCCCCCTCCTCGGTTGGTTTTTTTTTCCTTCTGTTTAAATATCAAACGAAAGAGGAAAACCCAGCGATGGGGGCTCTGGAACCGGGGGCCAGGCTGCTGGGCGGGCGGTACAGGGTCCCGGGCTGGCTGCTGGGGGCGTTGCCGGGGGTCTGGGGGGTGGGAGTCCTGCTGGCTTTGGGGCGGAACAGGCTGCCCTGCTGCGTGGAGGTGCTGTTGGAGAGGGGCTGGTGGTCGGGCTCGCCCGAGTCGCTCTCGGTGTAGCTGTAAGCCTGAGCCCGGGAGATTCCCTTCTGCTGCCGCCGCCACGAGTTGTAGTAGGTGGGGTCGCTGATGTAGTGGTTGACAAAGGAATGCGCCTTCTGGTGCCCGGGCTCCACCTCGTACTCGCTGTCACTGCCCTGAAAAACAGCGTGGGGCGATGGGCTGAGCTGGGCACGGCACCCCACAGCCCCAAAATCCTGTAGGGCCGGGCTCTGCTCCCAGCAGAGCGGCCCCAAGCTGTGCCCGGGGAGCTCGGGACAGCAGGAGGAATTTCCACAAGGAAAAGGCGGCCAGGAATGGGATGGGGCTGCCCGGGGAGTTCGGGATATCAGGAGGAATTTCCACACGGAAAAGGCGGCCAGGAATGGGATGGGGCTGCCCGGGGAGGTTTGGAGCGCCCATCCCTGGAGGAGCTCTGGCACTCAGGGCTCTGGGCTGGTGCCGAGCTGGGGATGGGGCACAGCTTGGGCTCGGTGACCCCTGAGGTCTTTTCCAGCCTAAATTGATCCTGTGATCTCCTGTGCTTTCCCAGCGCTCTTTTGGGATTGCTGGCCAGCGCATCCCGAAAGTATTTAAAGGCTGCGGCGGCTGCAGCATCACCGGGGGGTTTCTGCCTCTTGCTAAAACAAAATAAAACCTCATACAAAAGGTTCCTGAGCGCTGCCGAGGCCGCGATGCCCCCGGGCTGGCGGGGAGGGTGTTTTTGGGCTCTGCCGGTAATTGAATTCAGCTTCTCCGGCGGCGCACAAAGGGCCCATTGAGGGCGGTGGGAACTGCCCCGCGCCAGCGCCAGCTCCCGCAGCTCTTCACAGCTCCTCAAAAGCCACTCGAGCCCCGCTCGGGAGAGGAGCCGGCATCTGCCAAGGAAACAGCCGGTGCGGGCAGCGCCGGGGGGGGCGCCTGGGCACGGTCCCCTCCTGCTCGGGGACGGCTCTGGGCACCCACAGGACCTTTCCCAGCCTCTCAGGATCCATCCTGGCCCTGACTGTCCCGTGGCCTCCCCGGGGCTCCACGCTCCTGCCCGGCCACAGCTGCCCGTGGCCCCGGGACAAGACAAAGGTGGCATTTTGTGGAGTTGGCAGAGGCGCGGATGCTGCCACCAGCGAGCGGGCAGCGGGACAGCTCCCCCAGCCCCGCTGAGCTCCCGTCCCCTGTCCCCAGCAGCCCTGGGAGCTCCCGCAGTGTCACATCCCCAGCGCACGGGCCGGGGGCCGGGCCAGCTTCACTCGGAGCAGCAGGGATGCTGGCTGGGGCAGGAGCAGCGCAGCTCCCAGCCGTGGGAGGGCGGAGGAAGGGGCGGATGCTCGGGGAGGGCTCCCAGCGCCCTGCAGCCCCCCCAGGTCCCTGTCCCCCCGTGCGCAGCCCCGGGGCTCACCTGCGAGTCGGAGACCTCGGAGGGTTTCTCGGTCAGGCTGCTGCTCTCGGCGGGGATCAGGTCGTTGTACTTGGTCACGT